AGCTGCAGAGGTGAGGGCACTATCTCAGCCAGAGCTGTCTCCCTGCATTGCCCACAGAAGCAAAGCCATAATTCATACTTGACAGGCTGTGCGGGCATGCAACACGTGGGAGCAACACACACAGAGGAGACACAGGTTAAACAACACAAAGAAAGAACTCAAACATAATTAAAGATAGTTGTTTGGAGGCCAAACCATGCCCTCCCTGAATGCTTCCATGAACACCATTCCTGGTCATCTGTTTTGCTTCATCTTTTCCCTTCCTCCTGGCAGCAAAATGCTGCCAGGTGCAGAATCAAAGCTGACAACCTTAAGTGATGGCTTCCAAAAGAGGTCCACCTTTCTCCAGGAATGGTGGTTGTGTCTTTTTTTGCTTTTCTGGGGAACCTCTGAAGTTTGCAGCACAGTTGCACCTGCATGGCTATAGCAGTAGCCATTAGTGTCACTCCTTCCTTTAGAGGAGTGTCCATTCCTGGAGCTGTTGGCTGTGGCTACAGTGCCTTTTAAGTCTGGGTCCTGTAATAGAAGGAGCCAAACGGCACCTCCAAGGGGTAAGGGCCATAGGCCATCACAGACAATGGAAAGGAATCACTTCTGTAGCACTCTCAAGCTTTTTACCACTGGGACAGGGACAGCAAATGTCCTTCAATGACCAATGTTGGAGTTGTTTGCTTGGCTGGAGTTGACAGGGCAGGATCACAAAGTCTGGACAGCTACAGCCTGCATCTCATAGCTGATGCTCACACACATCTTGTAACCCTGCTTTCAACCTTAACTATTGACTGACCAGTAAATCTACATAGGGCTGTATTGCACAGGTCTATGTATTGCTTCTCTCGTGCCCTTCACATTGTTGATAATCAGATTCACTTAGCAAAATTAATGGAACACCCACAAAGAACTATTTCTGTGGTAGGGAAAGATAAAAGGGGAATTTCATTTCACATAAATATTGTTAAATCCTGCTTATACCTCCATGAACTTCTTTATATTTAAACTTTATAGTGTAGTACAAGGTACAGAGCTTCTTTTCATATTCAAAGTTTACAGCGGAGCTTCAAATACATATTAATATAGAAGCTGTAATGTATTCTGAGTTAAGCTGTCATAAAATCTGGGGCTCTTCACATCATCACTTTTGAAGGTCGGTGCCACAGAGAAAAAGAAGCATCTGTATTGGATCACCATGAGGGTTTGTAATACATTGCAATAAATACTGCAGTATATTTCATTTTTATACGTTTTTGATGAAGAGGCAAAAGTGCATCTTCAAAAGTTGCTTTTCAAAAATTGCTCATCTGTTTGGAACGGCTGTAAAAGAGATTGAAGCTAAACATTATTCATGGATACATTATGGCTCCTCACTGAGACCACAGCTGAAATGAGAATTCCAATGATATTTCATTTGGGGTATTGATTTTTCTGAGCTCTTCCCACAAACCTATTGCATGTGCATTCCAGGCAAGTATGAGAAGATGTAGATTATCCTATCTGGTTTTCTTCCCTAAGTTCATTTTAATTCCCCTAGCTTGCTTAGAAACATTTTGCTAATTTAGTGCTTTGATTCTTCTAGAACTAACACTCATTGTTCAAAGCGTGCCTAATCAGTTCAAAAGTGATGTGTGGAATGCTTTGCCCCTCACTGCACAACAGTAACAAGCAGCAGCTATTTCACTGTGAAACAACACTTGTCAACAATTTAGGCTGCTGGATTCAGAAGCCTGGAAAAGTCCCAGTCTAAAGCACAAGCATAAGAAATCGCTGCAGTACCCTGCCTCTACCTGCAGTCTCATACAGCCTGGAAAGACACAGAAGAATCATAGAACCACAGAATCACTTAGGTTGGAAAAGACCTTCAAGATCATTTAGTCCAACTGTTAACCTAGGTACTAAAGTGCCACATCTGTATGTCTGAAATACCTCCAGGGACAGTGACTCAATTACTTCCCTGGGCAGCCTGTTGCACTGCTTTCTGTGAAGAAAATTGTTCCCAATATCCAGTCTAAACTTCCCCTGGCATAACTTGAGGCCATTTCCTCTTGCCCTATCGCTTGTTACATGGGAAAAGAGACTGTCATATTTGCTAACCTCCAGTCAACTGGGACCTCTCCAGTTAGCCAGGACTGCTGATAAATGATTGAAAGGGGCTTGGTGAGCACTTCCAACAGCTCCTTCAGCACGGATCCCATCTGGCCCCATACACTTGTGTATGTATGTATGCTGAACCCAGGACAATATGAAAAGATCATACTCAAGCTGGGCATACATTAAGATATGTTAAGATAAATTTTAAAAGAAATGGTCCAGATTACAGCCTTTCTATTAGATTTAGTTAGGGACCCTAGAGCCTACCAATATGCGTTTTATATCAAGTGGCAATTGCCCCAAAGTGTATATCGGCACAGCAAAGTGCAGCCTACCATACGCACATCAGCAACATCCCTGAAGGACTGAAGTGTATGGAAGAGGTTGTAGACATGGTAGTGGAGTACTCCATCTGGGCGAATTTTGTTTGTCATTAAGTCTGGCCCTGATTTTCTATTTGCAGTAGATTCTTCAGTATTTAAGGTACAGAATTTAGTGTTACCCAAGGACTGGACTGTCTCTGAAGCTCCCCTATTATTGGGTTAAATGATCTCATCAAGTCACCATGAGGCACAGTGACAAAGGAGCAAGGGTGTTGTACTGTAGTTAATTCTCATGATAGTTTAAGCTTGAGGAACTGAAGTCAATCTCACTCATGGCAGTCAGCTCCTGGAGTAATGAAATTCCTGTTTATTCTGCATTCCTGTGTGCCTGGTAGCTGCTGGTAAGGAGAGAACTGCAGGTTCTCATCAGTTTCTAAACTGAAAAATCCCAGGGAAATAAGAAGCAGCAGTAGTGACTTTAAGTTATTTTTCTATCATCTGTAGGGCAACAAGATGCTCAGAGGCCAGTGTGGGCTCTAGCATGCTGAATGGGCATCTTCCGTGGACTGTTACCCACCTTGGTGCAGCTCAATATATACTAAGGTATTCCCTGCTGACTTTTGCCATCTCACTCTCTCTGCTGCTTATGGAGTTGCCAATGGCAGCTTTGCATACAGACTGCATTCCTTGGGGCTGTTCATCCCCTCCTGATACAGAACACCAACATATGAAGTTTCAATCAGAAAGTGAATGTTCTTTGTAGGGAGATCTCCCTTTCACAGCAGCTACAACCCTGACATAAGAAACAGCATGCAATGGTCCTTCTTTTTGAATAACCAGACCAGAGTCTGTTGAGATTTCCCCTAAAAGAAATACTGGTTTTTGCATTCCATGATGACTTATTTATGTCATTATACATTGAATCCTGCTAGAATGGCCTATTAGCGGCAGAATATCAATATATTGCTCATGTTCCAGAAGAAACTGCATTAACAATAGCATAAATTACTTCCAATTTTATGAGCTCACAATCCTCTATGATCCTTTATTAAAATGTTGCAGGTGAATGTTGGATTTTATAGTTGGATCTGCCTCAGCTGATGAAGTGAAAACATCAAAAAGGCAGGGTTGTTACAGAATCACAGGATCATAGAATGGTTTGGGTTGGAAAGGACCTTAAGATCATCCAGTTCCAAGCCCCTGCCACGGGCAAGGACACCTCACACTTGACCATGTCACCCAAGGCTCTGTCCAGCCTGGCCTTGAACACTGCTGTGGATGGAGCATTCACAACTTCCCTGGGCAACCTGTGCCAGGGCATCATCACCCTCACAGTAAGGAACTTCTTCCTTATATCAAACTTCCCCTGTTTCAGTTTGAACCCATCACCCCTTGTCCTGTCGCTACAGTCCCTGATGAAGAGTCCCTCTCCCAGCATCCCTGTAGGCCCAAGTGAATTACTAGAGGGATTCCTCAAACATTTTACATTAGGAATCAACACACACCCAACCAACAATAAAAAATTCTGCCTTTCTTTTGATCCACATTTTAGGGTTTCCAAGGCCAGAGTCTCATGTTTTGAATATACAGATGGTGACCAAGATGTGCACGTAACTGAAATTTGGAGTGCCTGTTTCACTATTAGAAAAATTGGAAAAGATTCTTGGGGTTTTTTTTATTCAATTAGAAAAATGGTTTTGTGAAAAAAAGTCTTTGTGGAAACATGGGGCTTTTAATGTACTTCTCTGGCCCAAGATGATCACTTGTGGGATGCACTTGCTTGCCAAAACTGGGTGGAGAAGAGAGACAAAAAAGCCCACTGACCCAAAACTTACCTTTTGTGACTAGCGTAGTATTTGTGAAGATAAGATCAAAGTGTGAGCCTTGCTCATTTTATAGCTGAGCCTACTGCATTTAAGGTCTCTCAGCCACCAAATTAATATCTTGCCTTCAGTGGCTTTCCACATGAACTTTAAAAGACATAGGCTTGATCTCAGGTAAAGAGTGAAAAATCCTCTAAATCCAATTTGAAATGTTAGAAACCAGAAACATTTTTCACTCCACATCTACTTGATTCTAATTTTAGGGGGAAAAGAAAGGGGCACTTGCAGGCAAAGAACCCAGAATAAAGCCCCAACCCAACAAACTCTTGGCTAGCTATCCTAATAATTATGACAAGTTAACTAGGAGCAATCTTCCTGGTTTGTTGTCATTAAAGGTTTGTTTGAAATTGCATAGGAAGCACAGGCATAAGCTGAGACAATCAGCAGATAAATTCTGAGCAGATTTATTTTAAAGTCTGTATCTTCTCCCATTGACAGCAGCAATAAAGCTTTCAGCAGTGTAAAAGTCTAGAAAAACATTCCCTGAAACTATGGTCAAATGGATCTATTTTTCACTCAAGCCGTATACCGTATGAGGGCCATAAACCGCCACAGGGTCACATTTAACAGGGGAACCAAGCTAAATAAAAGAAGAACCAAGCATGTAACTTAGCCTCCAACTTTCCCCACCCTCCCACTGTAATATGAATCTGGGTGATTTGGCAACCAAGTTGGTTTTGCTTAATAAATAAATAAATAAATCACTTACTTTGACGCTCAGTGAATTTAGCTGGCAGTAAAATAAGATCTTTTGAATACTGTTTGTTTGTTCTTGCACTGACAGAAACCCAAATCCAGCAATAATGGAGTGTAAAAAAGACTCCTTCTTCTGGAATCTGTAAAGAATAAAAAGGTAGAACGTTATCTCAAGTTCAAAAAAACAAAGAAAACGTTAAAACCCATACAGCCACGGTGTAAGCTAGGAGGGAACTTTCAATCTGTTAACATCTACTAATTGCTGTTACAGAGCTTCTGGATAGACTTGTCAATCAAGTCACTATGATAGGTATTGGTCTTTTTCTGTGCAGTGACCACAGATGACTAATGACTTTTGGATTAGATTTATTAATGTTTTGCACTTGTTTCTGTTCCTGTGTATTTCTGGACAGAACATTCAGAGTACCCTCAGGTTTTGTGTTTGCTTTTATTTTTTCCATCTATCTTGACAGCCTTACTATTGAAAAAATAGGTAGATAACATTTTTTCAAGAGCAAGACAAAGGCTCCTCCAGTGCCCTAAGGAATGACATTCAAGACCATTTATCTAGATTTACTGAATACATCTTTTAAAAGCTTATGATGCAAATTTAATGCAGCATTTTAGTGCAAGTGTTAGAAAACCACAGAACTTTGGAGTCAGAATTTTCTACATGTCTACACATCTCTTAGAGACAATTTTAATTCAGCTTCAAAATGGCAAATTCTAGTGCTAGACATTTTATTGTGAAGCCTTAACAGACAAATCCTTCAGTTCTCTTACAACTTCGCCAACCCTCCCTCCTGTTAAAAATCATTACCTGAAATGATCACAAATAATCAAAACCTTCTTCTCTCTTAAGAAGCTAGAACAATCCTGCCCCTTTACTTTGCTCCAGAAATAAACCAGAAATCTTGCTAAACAGAAAACTCTCCATATTTCATTGCCCAGTAATGAGGATTCTTGTTACAACATCTTGTGTTCCTCATCTGAGTAGGTGCATTGTAATCATTACACAGCACTAGTACCGGTATCAGCACAGCCTGAATGCTGATGCTTCTGAGAAGGCTGTGATTTAAAGAGATATTAAAATATATCAGTAGCAGTGCAACCACTTCTGTCTTTCTCACAGAATATTTCAAATCTATTTTCACATCATCCCAAAGATTTTTCTTAGATGAAGCTCCCAATAAAAGCTGTAATTTCCTTTCAGGAGAATTCAAGAACCACTGATCAGCCCAAAAGAACAACTGTTGCTGCAGTCTGGATGGAGAATAGAAAAAAGGCAGATCATGCCAGTACAGATGTTACTTTTCTTTGAGAAGGTACTGGCTTTCTGTAGGCTATGGCAACATGCTAGAACCAATGTGCCTTGATTTCAGTAAGGCAGTCAAAGGAATTGCTGGAGTAGAGAAGCCGGGAATTAGAAAACTGACTGTAAGATGGCTTAGGAAGCAAAGGGAGATGAGTGGCACTGTGGTAAAGAAAGGAACTTCCAAACTAGGGGGAAACTGTTAGGAGAACATCTCAGGTCTTAGGACATGCTGTGTTCAGCTTTTCTTTAATGACCTTTACGCAAGGAAAAGACTTGAAACTACAAATAAAACACGTGGTTGTTGCAGACCTGAAAGACGCCACCAGAAAGGAAAAATGGATTATCATGTAGAGAGAACCAAATGCCCTTTGGGAACAAAGTGAGAAATGAGAGACAACATAGCAGTACTAACAGCTGTAGCACTGTACAGTGCTATCAGCAAAAATCCTCTTATTTGCTGGAAGTTAATCAGCTGAAATTAATATAGAAGGAGGAAAATCTCCCTGCAGATAATCAGCTTGGAAAAACAAGAGACACCAATCTGATGTGGTCATTAAAGAAACAACTAATATTTATCAAGCAAATTCACTCTAGCAAAGACGGAGGGTATTAATGCTTCCCTATAAGACCTGGTAAGAGCTTATCTAGAATTCAAAACACAACTCTAATCACAAAGGCTCAAGAGATGTGAATTCAGAAGGAAGAGCTACACGGTGTGGCTGCTGGGATGGGGAGGGGAATGAAGTACCTGTCCTGCAGAGAGCGAACAGAGGAATCTGCCTTCTCAAGGGAAATAGACTCTGCACTGAAAAAGAATAGAGTTTGGGTGCCTGAGTTTTGAAAGCGTGGGTTGCTCACTGTTTCTCTTTCAGATGGATATGTATTGACTTTGTTTGTCCATGGTGCTCCTACCTTATTCTCTGAAAATGCATCCTACAAGAAATGTCCAAACCAAAACCCAATCAGCTCCTCCCTATGCTTTTGAGAAGCCCAAGCAAGAACATCACTCTGCATGGTTAGTACTTCTGGGAGTAAGGCTCATCTGTAAAGCCTATTTTACAGCCTGAGTATGTGTTCATAGTGCAGAACTTTATCCTACAGACTTGCTGCAAGCAGAATGCATTAGAAAATACTCATATTTCATATGCTCCTTAATCAGTGTTTTCCTTTCCTTTTCAAATCCAAGCAAATGTCACTGCTTTGCAACTTGCTGTCCAGCACTGTTGTGACATAAGTTCTCTTTAATCAATTCATTTTTAAAGTAGGAATACTTCGAAGGCTTCATCCATTTAGCTCCTAAACTTGGAAAAAGCAGTTTCTTCTTAATGAGCACCAAAGTTTTCCAATTCCTTGAATTTCTGAGTTTTTTGTAATGAAAATGGCTTTTTTTCCCTACTGTTGCAATCCAGCCACTCTAACAGCATATATCCAATGACATTTTTGAATATCATTTCGTGCAAAATTCACCTGAAACTAAAGGAGAAACTCAAAACCAAATAGTTTTCACTGACCCCTCACTTCAGAAAGAGGTGTCTGTATATATACATGTTCAAATATAACAGTATAGGGGAGGACAGGGTTATTTTCTTTAAGGAAATGCTTTTCACATCTCCTGTTCCCACTTCTCTCTTCCACTGTTCATGTGTACTCTTTCTTTCTCATTTCTTGCCTTTAATTTATGGGGTTGTAGACACTTTGCACAAAAAAAGCCAAGAATGTTCTTCCTGACATTAATTTCTTATACCCACTATGCCTTGAAAAACAATTCCTTCCTTAATGTCTGCAAGAGGCAGGCTTCCAAAACAGCCTCACAGAGTACCAAATGCCAGTGATGCACAGCAAACATTCCCCAGATTAATTACAGGTTGATGGAAATGAAGGGAGAAAAGTAGAAGCCATAAAATCCACAGAAAGCTTTTGAGAGTTCCAGTGGAATAAATACATCTGCTTGTGACAAAAATCGATTTGCTTTCTGGTAGCATGCAAGGCTATTTTTATCTCCCTGTCTTGAAATTCCTCAATGAGTTAACAAGGAGCTGTGTTAAAGGAGATTCTATTATACAAGCTGAAGACCTAAACAGGACGACTTGTGGAATGATTCACTATCCATCACCTTACTATTCAAAACGTAGCTTTAGAAAACATCACAGGTAACATCCCTCAATGAGGAAAATGCTCAATACCTACCTTGCTCTTCACATTATTACTTTTTGCAATCTATTGACTAATTGCAACCCCCTCAGGCACACCCAGTGATGATGACTTAACTGAATGCCAAATTATTCATTTCTTTTGCTCAGTCTAGTCCCACACAACATTTAGTAGTCCCTAAGTATTCTATGATTCTATGATTCTATAACATCTATTCCCAAACGTGAAGGATGATAAAATGGCCTCTGGTGGGCTTAGTCATCTAAATCTGCAGCCAATAGCAGCCCATGTTAAATGACTGCAGGTTTGCATCCAACTCACCTAAAGGACTGTCTCGTTCACGTGGGAAAGACAACGCATCATAATGGAGACCTCAGAAAATTCATATTAATTTCTTACATGATAGAGTCATACAGCACTCTTACAAAAAGAAATTATGCTCTAATGGAAGGTACTGAATTAGTCCTTATATGATCTCATGTTACTATGTGCTTTTCATACGACTGCAGCAAGTGATTAACCTCTGCATACCCTTTTTGTAAAACAAGAATAAAAATGCTTCCTGTTACTCACCTCTTGTTTGTCTTCCCTGGAGTGTGAGCTCACAGGGCATGAATTCTCTCCTTTGAGTATATATATAGAACCTTGCACAGCAGGACCTCTCTGCACTGTGCCATCTGAATATAATGCTTGGTAACACATAATGAACACTGACATTTTGGAGTATTCTTGATACTGTGAAAAGGCTTCTTGTTACACTCTCATTCCTAAGCAAGAGCATGATCCCAGTCACTCTAACACTTCAACCTACTCCAACAGAGGATGTGCAAGATAAAAGCTTATGAAAAAGTGTCTCCAGGCTTACATACACCTATGTGTGCTTTATGTATGCAACACATCACTCTTGTGTATCTCCCTTAGTTTGCAGCTAGGTCAGTAGCCCTGGGATCCAGTGAAAAGGACAAACCCTACCAGCTCCTTGGTATTGTAATAATATGATTTTGACTATTATATATTACTATATATTATTATAATATATTAGGCTACCAAAAATAGAAAAATCCACTTATGAGAAATCCTTCCTCTCGAAAAACAATTTCCAAGACCTCAGAGGTCCTCAGTTAGAGCATTGTCCATCAGCTGCAGGCTGAGGTACCAATTTGTATCCCAAAGAGTTGTGCATGCACTCATCAAAATCATCAGCCTAGAGGCATGGATGAGAAGGTTAGTTCTGTCTCTGAATGACCATGGTGCCACAGCCTCCGCTCTGGTTCAGACACAGAGCCACCAGTGTTTTGTTCTCCTCCTCCTGGGGCAGATGGAACAGCTGATGCTATGTAAGATTTTGGGGAAGAGAGTGTCACTTTGTTCTACAGTTTTGCAGGACCCAATGCAAGCTGTTCCAAGTGAACGGAGGGGCTCCCTGTGCCATCTTGCTGTCTCTCTCTGCTGCCCATACTGCCCTGAGAGGAACTGGAAGTGAAGACAGAGCTTGACTTTGTACTGTTGTGTCCTGGTTTCGGCTGGGATAGAGTTAATTTTCTTCCTGGTAGCTGGTGCAGTGCTGTGTTTAAGCTTTAGCATGAGAATCATGCTGATAAAACACCAGTGTTTCAGTTGTTGGTAAATACTTGTGTTGGCAAAGTCCAAGGATCTGCTTCCTCCTCCTT